TTTTCTAATTTCTCTTTCAGTGGATTCATTGCTGATGTATAGGAATGCATTTGATTTATGGGTGTTGATTTTATATCTTGTTACTTTGCTGAATTCATTTATTAGTTCTAGAAGTTTTCTGGTGGTATTTTTTGGATCTTGTAGGTACAGGATCATGTCATTGCAAATAGTGATAGTTTGAGTTTTTCTTTACCTATTTGTATCCCTTTAATTGCTCTGGCTAGAGTTTCAAGGATGATATTGAACAGAAATGGTGAAAGAGGACATCCTTGTCTTACTCCAGTTTTTAGCAGGAATGCTTTCAATTTTTCTCCCTTTAGAATGATGCTGGCCTTTGGTTTAGCATATATAGCTTTTACAATGTCGAGGTATGTTCCTGCTGTCCCTAGTTTTTATATTGTTTTGAACATGAAGGTGTGCTGTATTTTGTTGAATGCTTTTTCTGCATCTGTTGAGATGATCACATGATTCTTGTTTGTAAGTCTATAATATGATGAAATACGTTTATTGATTTCCATATATGAACCACCTCTGCATCCCTGGAATGAATCTCACTTGATCGTGGTGCAATATCTTTTAAATATGTTTTTGTATGCAATTTGCCAGAATTTTATTGAGTATTTTTTCATCTGTGTTCATCAAGGATATTGGTCTGAAGTTTTCTTTCCTTGATTTGTCTTTGTCTGGTTTTGGTATTGGTGATTTTAGCCTCATAGAATAAATTTGGAAGGGTTCTCTCCTTTTCTATTTCATGGAATACTTTGAGGAGTATTGGTGTTAATTCTTCTTTGAAAATCTTGTAGAATTCAGCTGAGAATACATTTGGTCCTGGGCTTTTTTTGGTTGGTAGGCTTTTGATGGTGTTTTCTATTTCATGATTTGAAACTGATCTGTTTAAATCATGTATGACCTCCTCATTCAGTTTGAGTAGGTCATATGTTTCTAGAAATTTGTCGATGTCTTTGATATTTTCTATTTTATTAGAATGTAAATTTTCAAAATAGTCTAATTATCCTCTGTATTTCAAGCATGTTCTTTGTGATATTTCCTTTTTCATCTTGTATTTTAGTAATTTGAGTTTTCTCTTCATTTATTATTTCAAATTTTGCTGCGTTTATTTCTTTGCCTTATATAATTGCCTTGACTAGAACCTCCAGTACAGTGTTGAATAGAAATGGTTTAGAGCAGGGGCTGGGGATGTGGCTCAAGTGGTAGTGCGCTGGCATTTATGCGGCCCTGGTTCGATCCTCAGCACCACATACAAACAAAGATGTTGTATCTGCCAAAAAGCTAAAAAAAAATAAATATTAAAAAATATTCTCTCTCTCTCTCTCTTTAAAAAAAAAGAAAGAAAGAAATGGTTTAGAGCAGACATTCTTGTCTTGTTCCTGTTGTTAGTTGAAAACTTTTAGCTTGTTGACATTAAGATCATGTTAGCTGTGTGTGTTTTTTGCTTGTTTTTTTTTTTTTTTTTTTTTGTAGACACTTTTATAAAAATGAGGAAATCTCCTTCTATTCTTCATTTGTTGGGAATTTTTGCCATGAAAGTATGCTGAATTTTGTCAAATAGTTTTTCTAAGTTCATTGAGATAATCTTGTGGACTTTTTCTTTTATTCTATTACTATGGTACATTAAAACTTAAGGTTTGGGTCTTAAATGTTCCTGAAAAGTCATTTGCTAAAGGCTTAGTTTCAGCTGATGGTACTGTTGAAATGTGGCAGAAACATTTGAAAGTTGGAGCCTAATTAGAGGACGAAGGTCATGGGGTCATGACTATGAAGGGCTTATTTTGTCCCTGGTCCTTTCCCACCCCTTCTCTACTTCCTGGCTGCCAGGAAGTGAGCGGCTTTGCTTCACCATGCTCCCTGCCATGGTGGTCCTGTCTTATCACAGACCCAGAAACAATGGAGGCAAGTGACCATGGATTGAATCCTCTCAAACTGTTAGCCAAAATAGATCTTTCCTCCTTAAAGTTGGTTTCTGTCAGGTATTTTGTCACACTGACAAAAAGCTGAAGAATGCAATTACATTGATTTTAAATTCTTAACTAAGATTACATTAATGAAGCTTAGATAAACTTCATGATGAATAAGGCTATTTGTATCTTGTTGGATTTGGCTTTCTAGTATTTTGTTGAGATTTTTTTCCATTTGTATTCATTCATAATGATATTGTTCTGTGGCTTTCTTTTCTTTTGTAATGTCAATTTTGTTTGACAATATTGGCCTTCTAAAATGATTGGTAAGTGTATTTTTCTGTTTTTGTGAGAGTTTATGCAGTTGGTATTAATTCTTCTTCTAGAGTTTTGTAACATTTATCACTGAAAATCATCTGGTTCAGAGATTTTTTTTGTTATTGTTCTTCTGTTTTAAATTATTGCTGATTTAGCATCTTGTAGGTCTCTTTAGATTTGTTTTTCTTTTGTCACTTTCGGTAGATTACATATTTTAAGAATTTTTCTGTTTCATCTAGGCTGCCTAACTTGTTGGTATGCAGTTGATTGGAATAGTCCTTTATTTTTTTTCCTTCATTCTGTAGTAATGTCCTTTATTTTACTGCTAATTTTATTTATTTATTTATTTAGGAGCACCTCTATCTTTTTAAAAAGCATTTTTAAATTTACACGGAGTAAAATTCATTCTTTTTGATACACAGTTCTTTGCATTTGGATAAAAGAATAGTCATGTGACCATTAAGACAATCAAGATACAGAATAGTTCCATCACCCCTCCTCTGCCCAAATTCCCTCATTCTGCTTTATCCTTAGTCCCTGGCAATCTGTTCTTTGTTTTTATAGTTTAAAACAAATTGTGATAAAACACACACCACATAAAATTTACCATTTAACCCTTTTTAAGTATACAATTCAATGACATTAAAGACATTCACAATGTTGTGCCACCAGCACCGCTGTTCATTTCCAGAACTTTTACAACATCCAACAGAAACTCTGTACCCATTAAACTATAATGCCCCTCCCCGAAGACCCCAACAACCTCTGTTCTCCTTTCAGTCTCCATGAGTTGACCTCTTCCAGATACTGAACATATGAATTACCCAACATCTGTCCTTTTGTGTCTGGTTTGTTTCACTTAGCATAATACTTTCAAAGTTCATTCATGCTGTAGCATATGCCAGAATTCCCTTCCTTTTAAAGGCTGCATAATATTTAAAAAAAAAAAAAATATATATATATATACACGCTGCATTTTGCTTTCCCATTCAGCAGTTGATAGACTTGTGAATGGTTTCTATCTTTTGGTTATTGTGAATAATGCTTCTATGAACACTGACGTACAAGATTTACTGCTAATTTTAGTAATTTGTGTTCTCTTTTTTTTTCTTGATTAGCTTAGTCAACTGTTTCATCTAGGCTTTATTAATGTTCTTTATTGTTTTTCTCTTCTTTATTTATGTTCTAATATTTATTATTTGCATCTTCTGTCTTTAACTTGTTCTTTTTTTGTTCTAGTTTTCTAAGATAAGCTTAGGTTAATGCTTTGAGAAGTACTCTTTTTAAAAAAAAATATAGGCATTTATAGCTATCAGCTTTCTTCTCTGGACTGCATACCAGGAGTTTTGTTATCTTGTGTTTTTTATTCGTTTCAAATTATTCTTTAACTTCCCTTGAGATTTCTTTTTTAACCTATTGGTTGTTTAAAACTTTGTTTATTTCCTTATATATGTGAATTTCCCAGATTTCTCTGTTTTATTGATTTCAGTTTTATTCCACTATGGTTGGAGGACATACTTAGCATCATTTTGGTTCTTTTAAATTTATTGAGAGTTGTTTTAAGGAGAATGTTTTATAAGCACTTTAAAAAAAATGTATATTCTGCTCTTGTTGGAGGATTATTCTCTAGATGTTTTGTTAGGTCTATTTAGTTTATAGTGTTGTACAAGTTTTCTATTTCCTCATTGATCTTTTGTCTAGTTGTTTTATCAGTTATTCATAGGTGGGATATTGAAATTTCCAGTTATGCTTAAATAAATTATTTCTCCTTTCAACTCTGTCATTTTGGGCTTCATATATTTTTGGACTCTGTTGTTAAATGAATATATTTATAAATATTCTGGATGAGAGTATTTTAATATACTCATTTATCTCACCAATTTTCAATCTTAATGTCTAATACTAGCGTAGTCATTTCATTTTTTTTAGATTATTTTTTACATGGTATGTACTTTCCACTGAGCTACATGCCCAGCTCTTTATTTCTGCCTTTTCAGTATGAATGGTTTTTATTACTTTTTCTTGCTTTATTGCAACAGCTATGGCCTCCTTATAATGCTGAATAGAAATAGTGAGAGTAGATATCCGTGTCTTTTTCCCAGTCTTGGCAGGGGAGGTGGCAATTAATCTTTCACTATTAAGAATGATATCAACTGTAGGATTTTTGTAGGTATGTTTTAATCAGGTAGAAGTGATTGTTTCACTTCTAGTTTGTTAATATCTAAATTATGTATCAGTGTTGAATTTTTTTTGAAATGCTTATTCTTTATTGAGATGGTCGAATAGTTTTTCTTCTGTAATTTATTGATGTGGTAGATGGTACTAATTGATGATGAATATTCAACTAACTTTACCAGGATAACCACATAGTCTTATATCCTTTTTTGAATATTGCTGGATTCGTTTTACTAATATTTCATTGAGGATTTCTGCATCTACATTCATAAGCTCAAATTAATCTTTAAGCAAATACTAAGTACCAGGAGGACTTTCACTTCTAGTAAAGGTAAGCTGTATCATGTGGGGTAACCCTCCTACTGAAGACAACTAGTAAAGCAGAAAGAATTAAAAAGAAAATAAAAACACAAACTGTTTAGAACACCATAGAGCTATCAGACTGACTTGTCAAATCTCCACACTTAGACTCGAGGAACATTTTCACGAGCTACTTGAACATTTGCACAAGTTAGAACTGTCATTTTAGAAATAAGATTATATTTATGGATATGGCATAAATAGTTTCTTTTCTCCTCTTATTTTTCAAAGGCAGACATAAATGCATTAAACCAAAATCTGCAGGCATTAGTAGAAGAAAATAAGAACCTGGCAGATCAAATAGCTTCTCTGGAACTTCAGCGAGCCACTTCTGAATACCATGGGGTGGGTATAAAAAGGTCAGTCTGAGTTAGAAAATAATGACTAATGAGTTTTTTAAAAATCCAAAGTCAGGAGATAGGTTTTCTCTGGTGTGTGTATGTGTGTGTGTGTGTGTGTGCGTGTGTGCATGTATTAGTAATTATCATAAATCCTGAATAATGGGATACATATGGCAGACATATCTGCAGTTTTCAAACAATAGAAGATTTAAGAAAGCAAGAATTTAAGGTAGTTACTAAATGACCACCTACACAGATGATGTATAATCTAAAAAGCACAACTATAGCTGATGTTTCAAAATATTTTCTCTCCCATAAATTGAGGAAGAAACTTGTGTTTTCCCCTGTCAGTTTCTTCCATTATGTAATCAGTAATATATCTGTTTTCTAGAAGATATTTGATGATGTTAGTTCATTATAAATAAATGGTAGAGTTCTTAAAACATCTCTAAGTGGGGGGAATTAAAGAGATGATCATTCTGTTAACAAGTTAATAATTTTTCTTATAATAATTTTTGTGTTTTTGAATACTTGAAAAGGAATTAGTTATTTTTATAACATGCAAATCAGTTTTGAAAATTTTCATATAAAGTCCTGATATGAGTCTCTTATATGAACTAAATTTTAAGCCTGTCGTAAACTGCTGATTACTTCAACTAAGAAGAATTTATATAAACTAAGTAAATTATCTTACATTTTCATGGATTTTAAGCCTAGGTTTCAATTTGGGGCTATGATCTTTAACCTTCAATGCAGAGAGGGTTAGAATAATTACCACATTGATTAGAAACTAACCTCTTTATGTATCTACTTTCAATCTCTTCTAATAAAAGAATAGAAGTTATCCATCCACCTTTATACTCCTTTCTTCTAGCATAATGCCTAATGCATATTAGGAAACATTGATCAAATAAAGTACAGAGTCAGTCGCATATCTGGCCAGGCTGTAAGGATTGTCATCTTGAGTGCTAATTGCCCATCATGAGCCCTTACATGTAGTATATATGAATAAATATTATTCTCTCTCCTTTTTTTCTTTCACATATTCTAATATTAGGTTTATTTTTGCCACTTTAGCCTTCAGTGATAATGCAATTTAAGTCCATTACCACAGGCAGTTAAGCAGGCAACTACAGTAAGAAAAAATCCAAATATAGTAGGAAAGTTACTATTCCTGAACTCAAGTTGAATGATTGTTCCCTACTTCTCTTTTGCATTTTAACCACACATTGTTAAATAGTAGCACCAAATAGAAATACAGTTCCCTATGCAATAGAACTTTAATGATTTGAAATTCAACTGTATCAAAGTTGGTTCAATCTGCTGCTGAGGCCTATGTCATATTTTCACTAAGATTCTTGCTTAAATTCTGCTTATAAAGTTACTTTATATGCCAATATCTCATTCATTTTATATATTCTTTCAACAGTGTCTGCTAACTTTTTTATAGTTCAAAAAATTATTTTAGGGCTAGGATGGCTCCTTGGTAGAACACCTGCCTAGATGCATAAGGTTTTGGATATGATCCCCAAGACCCCAAAAAGAAAAAAAAAATGCACACACACACACACACATATACATACATACATATTTTTAGAAAGTGTTTTGTGACTTACTCTTTGTGTTAGCTTTCCATCACTATGACAAAATACTTGAGATAATCAACTTAAAGGAGAAAAAAATTATTTTGGATCACCATTTTAGAGATTTTAGTCCATGGTTAGTTGGCTTATTGCTTTGGGTCTGTGGAAGGCAGTACATATGGCAGAAGAGTTACTTACCTCTTCATGGCTGGAAAGCAAAAAGAGACAGGAAGGGCCAGGTTCACAGTAGCCACTTCATTGGGCACACTCCCAGTGACCTAACTTCCCTCCACTAGCTCCTACCTCCTAAAGGTTCCACCACTTCCCATTAATGCCACTAGCTGGTGACCAAGCCTTCAACACATGGGCCTTTGGGGAGCATTCCAGATCACAAACCATAGCACTGTGGATCCATGACAACCTACCTTTCATATCTTAAGATAATTCTTCTGTGGTTGTTCCTGCAATATCCTTGTGTTTCTGAATTGAAAGATATAATCTAAACATTGACATTTTTCTTTGTACAACTCAGAATCCAAGGTGTTCACTCATTTAAGTAGTTTCTAATTTCCAGTCTCTGATTGATTAAAGTACAGGGCCTATTTAAATAATCTGTAAACAATAAGTAAGTGCCTTAGCAACTAGTAACAATTCTCTTTGTCATGATTTTAAATAAGTGACCCTGTGTCAAATGTTGTTACATTTTGACTTTATTTAGTCTTTACTTATTATGTTGGCATTCTCTTTGGTGGCAAAAAGGGGAAATAATTATCTTTAAAGTGTATTTAAATATTAATAGAATTTCTCTATCCCTTTGCATAAAAGGGAATTTTATTGAGGGGAAAAAAGTGCCATGTTTAAAAACTTCCTGGACCCCTTTTACAGGAGACCAAGATCATCTATATATTAAAACAAAACAACCCCCCCCCCCAAAAAAAAACCTTTCCATATTCCAAGAAGATAAATGAAGTTATTTTTGAATGTTTTATATTTGTTATAGCAATCATATTTTAGGTTGGATCTAGTTCTTATTTTTTAATATGCTGTATACTTTATAGCACATTGGGAAAACTTAATTTATAGAACTTGAAACTGACTTTTAAATAATGAAGTTTTTTGTTGTAGTTTTATTTTTGTAACATATTGACCTCATAACTTTTTTGTGACTGAAGAGTTGGTCAAAATATAATCCTAAACTATGTTTCATTTATGGAATGATTTTTGGATCATAGTTTCCAAAATAGAAAAAGGGGCTGTATATCTTTCACAAACAGAATGTTAGTTAATGACTAGCTAATTTTATGATATCATTAATAACACACTTCATTTCCCTTAGGTTATTTTTAAATTTTTTTTTAGTTGTAAATGAACACAATGTCTTTATTTATTTATTTGTATGTGGGTGCTCAAGATAGAACCCAGTGTCTCACACATGCCAGGCCAGTGCTCTATTGAGCCACAACCCCAGTCCATCCCTTAGATTATTTTGAAACCAATATTTTAGTTGTCTCATTGCTTTTAGAAAAATACTTTCTTTTAGTGGGAGCAACACATAGATTTTTTTTTTAATCTTTGAAAAGAAATTATAGCAAGCCATAGTGGCATACACCTGTAATTCCAGCAAGTGAGGAGGCTGAGGCAGGAGGATTACAAATCCTAGGACAGTCTGGGCAACTTAATGAGATCCTGACTCAAAATAAAAAATTAAAGGGGCTGGGAATGTAACTTAGTGGTAGAGTACCCCTGGTGGTAGAGTACCTGCAACCACTGATATAACCACACCATATCTGGCTTGGATCACAGCTAAGAAATAACTAACATAGCAAAATAACAACAACAGCAATGTACAAGGAACAACAAACTCTGGGGCTCTTAAGGCTCTATACTTTAATCAGCAAGTCTCCTTATGTGTTGCTTGTTAGCACTGAGACCAGTTATCTAGGGAGAGACTAGAAGGCAGCAATAACAAATAAATATGAATCTTGATCTTAATACTATAGAAGTAGTAAGGGTACTAGTACTTTTTTTTCCCCAAAAGAAAATGCTTATTCCTTTCTATGCCAAGAGGTACTGATACCTGTGTTTACATTATCAGCTTGCTGAGCAAAAGGTGGAAAATGTCTTGGGAAAAATTACTGAGAGTAAAAATAAACTGGCCTATGAAAAGGGAAAACTCCAGGTATGAGATTTATTTTCATATTTTATATGATTTTTAAAGATACTAATTGTAAAACTAAATATTGCTGGATTTTTAGAAGACCTACCCTATTGTTTACTAATTCTGTAGTCTTTGAACCTCCCTGTTTGTGGCTTCCTTAATATCCAGATGACTTCTGTTCATATTCAATTCATATAATACTGAAGCCTAATGCAGTGACAATCTTTACAAATTTTGTGATGATTTGAAGACTTACTGTAGTTATTTTATGCCTCGTCACTCACTGAAAATATAGAGGTCCTATGCTTTCCTTTTTTCATGAATTTTTATAAAACATCTAAAAAGAAATAACTCTGACAATTGGGCCTCAGAGACAATAGAATAGACTTAAGTGAAAGTGATGATACTGTTCTTTTTCTGATTGTGCATTTTACCCCCATGGCATCTACCTATTGAGGAGCAGCTTTGCACATTTTAGAGCCGGGGGCGGTTCAACACAGCAGGGTATTGGCACAGGGTGCTTTCTGATTGGTGGGTAATGATCATGAGGGTCAGCAGGGCTCACCATTGGGCGGCTCTTCCTGCCGCTGTCTTGGGGCATGGGGAAGTTAGTACTGGAAGAGAAGCATGGCCCGCGCCATCGTTGGAGCAAAAGCTTGCTACAGATGTGACTAAGCTTGTCTTTAGCCCACTGCAGTGGAAACACCAATGTCTACATCAGTGGTTCTAAGCCTAGTACACATCATCATCACCTAGGGAGAGTTTAAGATGTCTGAGCTCTGGAACGTGCATCATGTTTGCCACTTTTTTTAAATGCATCCTAGGGAAAAAAATACATTAATGGATTGATAGGGAGAATGATAGATGGATAGATATGTGATAAGTAAAAACAAAAAATAATGGTTGAATTTGGTTGGTGGACCCTAAAGCATGCTCTTAGTAAAATTCTGTCAAATTTTCTGTATGTTCAGTTTTTTCTTAGTAAAATGTAAGAATAAAAAAATCCCCATGTCTAGAATTCCAACCCAGAGCAACTAAGACAGAATTTTAGGGGCTAGTCTAAACTCTGATACTTTTTAAAGCTCCCCAGATGCTGATATGATGAATTCTTCTAAATATCTCATGTACTCATATCCAAAAGATTATCTAAATTAGTGGTCATATAGTATCTTAAGATTTACTGGATTTCTCCTAAAAGTAGTTATGCCAGTTTTAAAAGCAGTGTATATACAGATATATTAAACAGGTGCATTAGAGTTACATATGTTAACATGGATGAATCTCATACTATATACTATTTAAAGATACATATATAGTAAGATTTTTAAACTGAGAATGATGAATACCAAATCCAAATCCAGCATTGTAATTGACGAGGGGGAGATTGGGTTAGAATGGGTGCTACAGGATTGGTGGGTTTTTTTTGTTGTTGTTTGTTTGTTTGTTTGTTTGTTTTGTGTGTGTGTGTCAGGGGAGATATTAGGATCAAACCTAGGGCCTGAAGTCAGGCAAGTGTTCTACCACTGAGCTACACACCCAGTCCAGAGGTTTCAATTGATCTGGTAATATTTTATTTTAATTTGAATGATGGGTAGATGGGATATTATCATATATGTTTGAAAGAGTTCCAACACTTTATAAAATCATTTTTAAACGTGCCAGTTTGAGTCGCTTAGCCTTGCAATAATCTGCCATTGGTTGCATCACTTACATCAACACCTGGATTCAAACATGTTAGCAGACTGGCCCTTGTAAGCAACTGCAATTGTGAACTTAATTTACAGATTAGATAAGGGTTTGTTTTATGTTTTAGTAAACTTTTTCTTGAACTATAATGTATATACTTAAAAGAACATGGGACCCAGCCTGATGAACTTTTTACAAATTAAAATTAACACTCAGATCAAGAAACGGCACATTCCCAACATCCAGAACCTTCTTCCAATAACTATCCCCAACATGGTTAATTACCATCCTGACTTCCAACACCTCAGATTAATTTTACCTATGCTTTCACTTCACATAATCGCACAATACATACTTTTTAATGTCCTGCTTCTTTAACCCAACATTTTAGTAGTGAGTTTTATTATTCATATTTGTCGTGCTGGTTCTTTGTTTTGCATTGCTGCATGCATGTTGTACCATTATATGAATATTAGATAAAGGCCTTAAAAGAAAAAAATATGCTATATTGAAATTATCAGTTCTTAAGTCTATTTTCATACATTTATTAAAATGCATAACTTTGACCATTCCTGTTGTTTTAACCTATTATGTCCCGGCATTCCATATATAGGGCCTTGTATAAAAACTACATATAGAATGACGGGACATAATGGGTTAATGCTGAAGCTCATTTCAAACTATAAATAAGCTAAGGTTATTGGTATGTCCTACTGTATTTAGAATTTACAGTATATATTGAAGGAAAAAAACCTAGGAATTTTAATTGTATTATTTTAGAATATTTGCATTATAAACAGTCTAAAGAAGAGTTCCTTTCCATTTCTTTTTTTTCTATTTTTTAGTATTATTGATTTTATTTTTTTAAATACACGACAGTGGGATGCATTACAATTCTTATTACACATATAGAGTACAATTTTTCATATCTTTGTATATAGAATATGTTCACGCCAATCCATGCCTTTATACATGTACTTTTTTGCATTACAATTCTTAGTATACAAATATATCACAATTTTTCATGTTTCTGTTTATATATAAAGTATGTTGACACCCAATTTGATTCTTCATACGTGTACTTTGGATAATGTCACATTCCACCATTCTTGCTGATCCCCTGACCCCTCCCTTCCCCTCCCACCCCTCTTCCCTATCTAGAATTCATCTAATCCTTCCATGCTCCCCCTCCCTACTCCACGGATGAGTCAGCCTCCTTATATCAGAGAAAACATTCAGCATTTGTTTTTTGGGGATTGGCTAACTTCACTTAGCATTATCTTCTCCAACACCATCCAGTTAGCTGCAAATGCCATGATTTTATTCTCTTTTATTGTTGAGTAAAATTCCATTGTGTATATATACCACATGTTTTTTTATCCATTCATCCACTGAAGGGCATCTAGTTTAGCTCCACAATTTAGCTATTGTGAATTGCACTGCTATAAACATTGATGTGGCTGTGTCCCTGTAGTATGCTGATTTTAAGTCCTTTGGGTATAGTCCGAGAAGAGGGATAGCTGGGTCAAATGGTAGTTCCATTCCCAATTTTCCAAGGAATCTCCATACTGCTTTCCATATTGGCTGTACCAATTTGCAGTCCTACCAGCAATGTATGAGTGTACCTTTTTCCCCACATCCTCGCCAATACTTATTGTTGTTTGTCTTCATAATAGCTGCCATTCTGACTGGAGTGAGATGATATCTTAGAGTAGTTTTGACTTGCATTTCTCTGATTGCTACAGATGATGAGCATTTTTTCATATATTTGTTGATTGATTGTATATCCTCTTCTGAGAAATGTCTGTTCAGGTCCTTGGCCCATTTATTGATCAGGTTATTTGTTCTTTTGGTGTTTATTTTTTTAAGTTCTTTATATACCCTATTAGTTCTTCTTTAAAGGTCTTGTAGAATTTGGCTGTGTATCTATCCAATCCTGGGCTTTTCTTGGTTGATAGGCTTCTGATGGCATCTTCTATTTCATCTCATTTGATTGGTCTGTCTAAATTGTGTATATCATCCTGACATCAGATACAGCACTAATCTCTAGGGTATATAAAGAACTATCTGATGTGTGAGGGGAAAAAATTTGCTCCCAGGATGTGGGCTCTCTCTTTACCTCACAGATTGTTTCTTTTGCTGAGAAGAAACTTTTTAGTTTGGTTCCATCCCATTTATTGATTCTTGGTTTTAATTCTTAAGCTATAGGAGTCATATTAAGGAAGTTGATGCCTAATCCCACATGACGAAAATTAGGGCCTACTTTTTTTTCTATTAGATGCAGAGTCTCTGGTTTAATTCCTAGGTCCTTGATTCATTTTGAGTTTAGTTTTGTGCATGGTGAGAAATAGGGGTTTAATTTCATTTTGTTGCATATGGATTTCCAGTTTTTCCAACACCATTTGTTGAAGAGGCTATCTTTTCTCCAATGCATGTTCTTGGCAACTTTGTCTAATATAAAATAATTGTAATTGTGCGGGTTAGTCTCTGTGTCCTCTATTCTGTACCATTGGTCTACCAGTCTTGGTCTTAGTCTACCAGTACCATGCTGTTTTTGTTACTGTTGCTCTGTAGTATAGTTTAAGATCTGGTATAGCGATGCCACCTGCTTAACTCTTCTTGCTAAGGATTGCTTTAGCCATTCTGGGTCTCTTATTTTTCAGATGAATTTCATGATTGCTTTTTCTAATTCTATGAGGAATGCCATTGGAATTTTGATCGGAATTGCATTAAATCTGTATAGTGCTTTTGGTAGTATGGTCATTTTGGTAATATTAATTCTGCCTATCCAAGAGCAAGATAGATCTTTCCATCTTCTAAGGTCTTCTTTGATTTCTGTCTTTAGGGTTTGGTAGCTTTCATTGTATAGATCTTTCACCTCTTTCATTAAGTTGTTTCCCAAATCTTTTTTTTTTTTTTTTTTTTTTTTGAGGCTATTGTGAATGGGGTAGTTTTCCTCATTTCCTTCTCAGAGACTTTGTCACTGATACACAGAAATGCCTTTCATTTATGGGTGTTGATTTTATATCCTGCTACTTTGCTGAATTCATTTACTAGTTCTAGAAGTGTTCTGGTGGAATTTTTTGGGTCTTCTAGGTATAGAATCATATCATCAGCAAATAGTGCTAATTTAAGTTCTTTCTCTATACATATCCCTTTGAATTCTTTCGTCTAATTGATCTGGCCAGTGTTTTAAGAACTATGTTAAATAGAAGTGGTGAAAAAGGGCATCCCTATCTTGTTCCAGTTTTTAGAGGGAATGCCTTCAATTTTTCTCCATTTAGAATGATGTTGGTCTTAGGCTTAGTGTAGATAGCCATTACAATGTTGACATA